GGCATGTGCATTGCATTTTGGGGGTTCACATGCATGCACTTTGGGCACTCAGTCCGGAAAAGGTTAGCCATCACTGTCCTAGAGTGATGGCATAACCACCAACAAAATTACCATTATTCATACTATCAGAGGGGGAAGACATTACACTCAAGCATTCTTCATCATGCCCAAATACACATTTAACTGAGAGATCCCTACCAACTGCCATCAGCAGCCATGAAATCATGAAAGGAAGCAGTGGCCGCCTTTCCACTTTATTAGACCCAATGCTTTCATTACTACATGTGGAACTAATAACCAAGAGATACACTTACTTTTTTCCTCTGACTTTTTTTCCCTTCTGTATTGTTCCTTTCTTATCATAAGCTGCAGGCAACAACTTTTGGATTTCTGATCATGGTACAAAATATTGGGAAGCTTTTTTTAATTGAACTGTGGGACTATTAGAAATATCTAAGCAGAACAATTCAGATCCACATGCAAGTGGCTAAAAATCAACAAGGCTGGCAGTAATGTAAGGACAAATGAAACAAGTGGGAAAGGGTTGTTCTTTTCTTTGTCCAACCTTTATTCACATACAGATACTGCAGTAGCCCACAAGTTTTTCTTTCAGATATACAGTACATGTACTTGTTTAATGAGACAGAGATAGACAAACCCTTTTTTGCCCAAATCTAGCCAAAGCCCTATGTCCAATTACTTTTCACAGAGAGGATTAGACTAGAAACTAGCATTATTTGAACGTGCAAGCTAATGAATATAGATCTAAATGACAGGGCATAAGGTTCTGTTATATTATTCTTAGATTACTGTATACAAAAAGATACAATTTGTTTTCTTGCCTAAGTCGGCTTAGCTAAAGTTATTTGATACTGGCTCTACCAGTTTCAGTTTAAACCTTTTCAAAATTCAAATCCAGTTTGATCTGTTTGCCATATATCCATAGTAAGAAATCAAACAAAACAAATCCATGGAGACAATTTCAGCAAGCCCCCCTTCATCACTTTCTAAGTGCCACACCTTTCCTGCATCATTACTTCAACCGCTTTACAATTTTACAGGCGTTTCCTAATTCTAAACTGAAAAACTACTAGAATTTTTTTTTCCGCACACAAATGTCCAAGTGTCCTATAACTGTAAAATATTCAGATGTTACTCAGCTTCTGAAAATATGATACTTATAGCAGATGCCCTCTCTAGCAAGAACTACAACATGCAGGAGATTCAACCCTAAAGAGATACTCTACGAGGTGCTGCTGTTGCCAGAAATCCGTCAACCTCAAATTTAGTAAAGAGCTGAAAATGTCCAGTTCTCTTGTCACCTATAGGAAGCTAAGCAATCAGAAAGAGGGTGTGTACAATACTTAACATTTTTTAGCTACAAATGGCTAGTTTAAAACACAAATGAAGCCAACGTTACTAACTATTCTGGATTTGCAAGGCTGGCATTATTATTTTCTTTCAAGGCATAGCAAACATGAAAAGTAATTACAGGTAGTCCTCAACTTACAACAGTTCATTTAGTGACTGTTTGAAACAGCACTGAAAAAAGTGACATGACCATTTTTCACCAGTTATGACCTTTGCAGAATCCCCATGATCATGTGCTCAAAATTCAGATGCTTGGCCACTGGTTCATATTTATGACAGTTGCAGTGTCTCGGGGTCAGGAGGTCCCCTTTTGTGACCTTCTGACAAGCAAAGTCAATGGGGAAGTCAGATTCACTTAACAACCAAATTACTAACTTATCAACTGCAGTGATTCACTTAACAACTTTGGCAAGAAATGTCATAAAATGGGGCAAAACTCACTTAACAAATTTCTCACTTAACCACAGAAAGGTTGGGCTCAATTGTGGTCGTAAGTTGAGGACTACTGCCCTATATGCATATGAGGTGTCTGCAGTTCTGTTAAAAATGTACAATGTCTTTGCATGTTTCAAGGGAACTCAGAACCAAGTATTCTTACTCCTATGAAATGTAATGACACACATCACTTAGAAACTTGCAAGTGGTCCACAGAATTTCTGGACTGATGCGGGGATGCAGGACTAGAAAATAATCAATGCTACTTAATTTCTAGAAAGAAAGGAAGAAGCTAGGACATGCTCTCTCTGTCTTTGTCTAAGATCTAATCTCCCACAAGCCTAATAATGCAGGGGGGAATAAACATGTCCTCCCCTGCAAATTTGTTTCCTGAGAAGGAACTGCTTTTTCAGTAAAGAAGAAATTCAACAGATTAGTCGTGCAATGCAGAAGAGTGATCTCTGACATTGAGCAAACAAATTCTTGCCCTGCTCCCTTTTCTCAATGCAAAGAAAGCAAATCCAGGGGCAGAAAAGGATATGAAACACAGCAAAGAGCTCTTCTTGGTTCTACCCACTTTAAACATTCCCCAAATTTATTACTAATCCATGGTCTGTAGAAAAATGTAGTCCTCCAGCTAAAATGGTTCACTAGTGCTGTTCTCATAATTTTTACAGTTGTCTTATATGATTGACATTCCTTTATTTTATTTAGTTTTTCTGACCTAGCCCCTAGCCTGATGTTATTCTGATTTGGAACTGACCCTTTAGATTTGACATCTTACTCGCCAACCAAGCTATGATAGCACTCACTACCTGTCTGTTAATTAAAACTGATGTGTATTAGGTGAAATCCAAACAATATTTATCCCTCAAACCAGAACAAGGCACAGATTCTTTAAGAGAAAAGCAAAGATAGGTCAGTCTCATTGGGAAATTTTTATTGGCCAACGGGGAATAGGGGTCAAAGTGTCCCACTGTATCTTATTAGGCAATTTAGCTCTGAACGTAACTGAAAAGATAATATCAACTGAAAAGATATCGTATTGTCAGAGGAGCATGGGGGGTGGGAGAATGATAAGTCAAACAGCAAGAATTCTATTACCAAAATGGATTTAATCTACCTTTTGCACAGTACATATACACAGAAAAAAATCACTGGCTGCTTTCAACGATTACCAACACAGCCTGAAAAGAACACAATTTGGTTCTGAACTTTAAAAAAAAAAAAAAAAACCCAATATCCAGCACTTAAAGCAGTGGCAAAAATATTTTTTCCAATTTCCAATGTAAAGTTGAGGCATTTGCTTTGAACTGAAAAAACTAAAAATATGAACTTTTTATATAATTTTGTTTAAGATCTTGCAAGTTTTATAAATCTGCCAGCTACAAAAACTGTTCTCCACTAGGCTAAAGTAGACTGAAAAAGTGAACATTACTGGATTCATAAATAGTTGTGTGAATACTGCAAAAATTACATGACTGCAAGTACACAGTAGTATGGAACACACAAAACAGTAGAACTAATCTCTCTACTTGCAAAATATTATCCAACCTGAACAGCAGCAAGTCAATCTTCTAGAAAAAAAATATTACCAATGATAGGCACTAATAACAAGTTAATGCAGTGGTATGCAAGAATATTTTGACCCCTATTTTTAATACAGAACTTTGGAAAATACCTGCATAACAAAATTGAGAACCTTTTTATTGCTGAGAGTAAACCTAAAAGCTTCACCATGCAATATCTAACAATGTTGAAGATTGTCAGCAAATGTCCAACTCGAGCTTCTTCCAACACTTAAGTTCAAGACACAAAGTACTTGTTAAGTGATGAACATTTTTGGAGAAGGAACATCTATCTAGCCATAATAAAATACATGCTTTGATATGTTTTGCACAAATGCACTTCATTTGACAGGAACCTTCTTTATTATTTTCAACATAAGAAACCTCTACTCAGCATTTAGCCCCAAATGTTTCCATACCAAAACTCTACTGAAATTCTGCTATAGCAATAGCATACTCATATTTTAGAGACACCTATGTGCTATTGTTGAATTTAGACTTCCTCCATATACATCTGACTTTTCTAAATGTTTCCTTTCCCTAATTTCTACAAACCACCCACTCAGTTCATTCAGCCAGGGTCTGCAGACATCATCAAATAAAAACTTATCACAAGCTTTTGATTCTTGAAACCTACATAGTATACAGCCAAAGTAAAAATAGTTCAGGTTCACACCCACATTAGTGAATGCGGCCTCACCCCATTCTTTCAATTTTCTGCTTCAGTCCATTCAACAACCACATACTCTCCTTCAAGCACATCCAGGCACTAAGCATACTTATAAAATCAAGTTATCAACACTGATTAGCAACCTACCCTGGAGGCAACATTTAACAGGCTAGTAATGGAAAGATCCTAATTCAATGTCCTCAGCTTTCATGGAGCTTTTCCATTTAATTCAGTTGTAAAGTCTTGAAGCTCCCTAAAAATTCACTCACAAGATATAAACAGGAAATGATTGACAATTACAATAGGTTTCACAGATCTGCCATTATCAAATGAGTTTGATAAATAGACTTCTCATTAAAATCAATTTGTTAGTAAATTAGTAACTAGTAGTAATGCTAGTAATATTAACACTGCTTAACTAACCTAGTTGGTATGTTACAGTGCTTTGCTCCGATTTGCAATGCTAAGCTTTTTCATCTCATTACTTTTTAATGTTTCCTTTCTCCCTTTTCGTTCCTTTCTTGTTAATTAAAAACAACATTCATCATTCTGATCTGAAGAAAACTGATCCAGAAAAACAATCAATACTCTCTGCATCTCTTTAGGTGTGATTAACAGCTCTGTAACACAGGCCAACATGATTAACAAGGGAGACTTTAGAGATAAAAATTAATACTGGGAATGACTTATTTCTGCGATTCTTGTATTAGTGAATACGTTTTCAATCACGGAGGGGTTTTGGGCAAAGCCTCAGGGCTGAGGAAATACCCCCCAAGAAACTTGAGGGACTAGTGAATTTGAATTAGAATAATTTTGGAGAAAGGATGAGCAACTCTACAAACACTCAGCAGCTCTCCTAACTTTCGCACAATCACGGCTAGCCAACGGAGCAAATCCCAAACAGTTCCTGGCGGCTTCCGCCTCAACCCCCACCCGTATTCTCCCGCTTGCTTGACCTGGAGGAGATGGCAGAGGAGCACCGGACACGCTCGCTGAGGTCACAGAGTGCCTGGTATTGGAGGTCGCGACCCTTCTCGCGCTCCAAGTGGCAGGCGTAGAGCGAAAGAATAATCCCGGCCAGACACACGATGTAGCGGGCCACCCGCTCCCAGCGCGGCACCGAGACTCGCAGCAGGACGGGCGCCGCCATCTTAGCCCAGCCCTCGCTTAGGCGGACCCGGCAGGAGACTCCTCGCCCCTGTGCGCGCGCAGGGCACGCCACACCACGCCGAAATGCGGAGCGCGCGCACCACTCGTTTATTGGCTCGCCGCCGTAAGGAAAACCACGCCCACTTTCTCCTGCCGTCGACCGCTTGCCGGGCCATGGGTGTTTCTCCTCCTTTTTTTTCTGTTCTGAGCAGAACGTGGCGCTTTCCGTCGTAACAAGAGGCGAAACCAGATGACCAATCATTCGCGAGCGCGGGAGGAAACCCCGCCCACCTGCCTCTTAAGAACTAACGATATCGCGAGATCTGCAGTTTGAAACAAGGAGCTCAAGTGTTGTATCGTAGTCTGGTTTTGTTTCTTGCTCTCACAAGCTGCGATTTATTGTGTGAACGTTTTCCAAAGATTTTGTGACCGTGCATCTAGAATAGCTTGCAAGACACAATAGCTCAGCGGCTCAACTATGGCTTATTGAATAAACTAACTAGCTGAATTCATCCACCAAATGCCTTGCAGTCGGTGAAAACTGGAGATTTCAAACACCCTTTCCCAGCAGTGCTCTGGCAATGCGTATCCTAGCCCTGCTTCCCACCTTGGGTGCGACTTTATAGTTTGTAGAGCCTGTAGTTAAAAGCACCAGGCTAGAAACTAGGAGACTGTGAGTTCTAGTCCTGCTTTTGGTATGAAAAACCTGCTGGGAAACTGAGTCACTCTCAGCCCAAACCACCACACAGGGTTGTTGTAGGGAGAATAGAAGGACAAAGGATGTTTTTTATAAAACTTATTTATAAAAATAAAAGGTGGGATATAAATAAAATACCATTCACTCCAAAGGAAGAAAAATAAAGAGCAGCTTGCTCATTTTCTCAGAATTCTCCTGCACTGTTTTCAAAAATAACCTATCCTGTCTTGCAAAAAGGGAGAGATTTGGATACTGTAACTTTTCTTTGTAACCTGGATATGCAATTTACCCTCACGCACATGGGAATTCCATGTCTGAGATGAGTCAATGTGAATTGAAACTCAGACATGTCTGGGTATCAATGAATGTGGGGTAAGACAAGAGCTTGCCTTTCTGTTTACTACAAGGGGTAAGCAGACAGCTGGCCAAGTTTGGGGATGATACCAGACTATTTGAGTAGAATATGGGTGCAGGAGTGGACTGTGTTTGGTAATAATACACACAAAAAAGATGTGGATGTCTTGTGGTTCTTAAACTAAATATGAGCCAGCAATGCAACTACCAAGATGTGAATGCAGTCCTAGGCTGCACCCACAAATATTTAGGAGACGTCATTATGCCTTTCTATTCTGCATCAATCAGATTGCACCTACAATATTGGATCCAATTCAGAGCACTGAATTTTAGGAAGTAATTGATGAATTAGATCATTACTAAAGGAAAGGGAACCAAGATAATAAGAGGGCTAGAAGGGGAAGAAAAAACAGTTGGAGTTGATGAATATATTTAGCCTGGAGAAATATAATATTGAGTAGCATAACTGTATGAAAGGTGAAAGGGCACCATATAGAAACCTGAGGCAACTTGTTCTGATAGGACAAGAAACAAGAGCTTAAATAATGCTACTAATGCTACTGTTAAAAGGTAGTATTAAGCTTCCAGCTGCCTGCAATTACTACGAGTTCAATTCTCACCAGGCTCAAGGTTGACTCAGCCTTCCATCCTTTCTAAGGTAGGTAAAATGAGGACCTAGTTTGTGGGGGCAATAAACTGACTTTGTATAAAATATACAAAAGTATGAAGGCTATTGCTTAACGCCTTGTAAGCCGCCCTGAGTGTCCGGAGAAGGGCGGCATATAGATAAATAAAATATATAATTTTTTTTTTAAAAAATAGATTTTGGTGAGTGGTCAGAAAAAAAATCAACAATGGTAGAGAGTGCCTTGTGGGTACTGGAAGTGTTGAAACAGAGGCTGGATGGCCATCTGTTAGGGATACTGTAGTAGAATATTCCTGCAGTGAGAGCAACATTGGGCTAGATATTTAGATCCCTTGATTCTTTGAAGGTCCAATCCTTAAATTCTCTAATTCAATAAAGGAAAAATGGTTGGATATGTGGCTGAATCCATGGCACAGGTAGTATTTTCTGCTAATAGTAATGCAAGTCACTTTTGACACATTTTGGAAGTGGAATCTGTCAGGCATTGTAGCAAAACCTCCAGAGAAATTCCAAGACACTGAACATGGTGTGGTTACGGTACTATCAAAGTTTGAACTCACCTAAAGACTTTTAGATACATGACATAGCACAATTAGATTAAGAACCTTTACTGCATTCTAGCATGAAGCCATATAAGCCAGTTGATTGCCCTCTGCTCTCCTATGCTCTGCCAAATATAAAATCATGCATGCCGTGAGGAAAGTAGACGGAGTTTTGCTCCCTCTCTTCAAACATTAGGGCCAAGAATTACCAAATACAGCTGACTAAACGGAGAACAAAAGAAAGTATTTAACAGAACACACAATTATGCTGTAGAATTCATAGTTATTTGTGATGCATGGTGATGACCAGTTTCAAAGGTAAATCTATGGAGAATAGGTCTCTCAATGGCCTAAGACTCTGTTATCACTAGGTCAGAGTTATCCTACCTTTGGATACAAGCTGCTGGAAAGCAGTGTCAGTCTTATCTACAGAGATATGTGCTTAATTACTTTGAGAAACCAAGTCCTTGTCTCTAGAAAAAGCTTAGATGGCTTCCAGCAAAGTTGCTGTTATGGTTTTCTTTCAAGTGAAGGCTCACTTCACTTCAGCTCAAAGAAACAGAGATTCTAGTGCAGGGCTGTCAAACTCCCAGCCCATAGGCCGGATGCCTCATGCGCTGCCATGCCCTGCCCAGGTTAGCAAAGGGGAAAAAAGTCCCGATACGTCATGTGACGCCACCATGATGATGTGAGTTTGACACCCCCGTTCTAGTGGGTTCCACTGCAGTTTGAGTATTCTTTGTTAACTGTACCATTGTTCTATGTGCTTTAAGCAGGAGGTAGCTTGTCAACTAATAATGAGGAAACATGGGCATAAAATTTGTGACTAGAACTTGAACAGAGTCTTATTTGTGCCAAGCAAAGATGATTCTGCTGATAATATCCAGGGCACCTGGTGAAAAATACTCACCAAGGGCTTCTCTGTATTGTTTTCCCTTGTCTTTGTTCTGTACACTTTTTATGTACACAATTCTAAAAAAAGTTTTAAAAAAAACAAGGGCTATTTTTGTCATGTTTGTAAAGCAACAGACTTTTTTCAAAATTTACCTGAAAGTTTTCATTTTTTATAAAATTAAAAATGTACTTTTCTCATTTGTAAACAATGACTCCCGTATAGAATGAATTTTTGAACTCTAATACTTTAAACATAGACTGAAATTAACAGCAAAAAGGCAAAGGTTCCCCTCGCATATATGTGCTAGTCGTTCCCGACTCTAGGGGGCGGTGCTTATCTCTGTTTCAAAGCCGAAGAGCCAGCGCTGTCTGAAGACATCTCCGTGGTCATGTGGCCGGCATGACTAAACGACAAAGGCGCACAGAACGCTGTTACCTTCCCACCAAAGGTAGTCCCTATTTTTCTACTTGCATTTCTTACCAGCTTTCGAACTGCTAGGTTGGCAGAAGCTGGCACAAGTAACGGGAGCTCACCCCGTTAAGCGGCACTAGGGATTCGAACTGCTGAACTGCCAAGCTTTTGATCGACAAGTTCAGTGTCTTAGCCACTGAGCCACCGCGTCCCCTGAAATTAACAGCACAAATCATAAATATTTTCATCTTCTTTATACTGTAGAAGAGTGTTTCAGAACTTTGGCAAGTTTAAGACTTCAACTTCCAGAATTCCAGGAGTTGAAATCCACACTTCTTAAAAGTTGCCAAAGCTGAGAAACATTACAGGTGGTCCTTAATTTGCAGCAATTGATTTAGTGACTGTTCAAAGTTACAACAGTACTGGAAAAAGTGATTTATTACCGTATTTTTCCTACTTGTGATCCCTGCAGTATCCCCGTGATGAAAATTCAGAGGCTTGGCAAGTGACTCATATTTATGACAGTTGCATTGCCCCAGGGGTCATGTAATCGCCTTGTGTTATCTTCTGACAAGTCAACAGGGAATGCCAGATTCACTTAACAACCATGTTAACTATCAACTGCAATGATTCACTTAATAACTATGGCAGAAAGGTGGTAAAAAGAGGCTACAATCACTTTAGCAACTGTCTCACTTAGCAACAGAAATTTTGGGGTCCATTGTGTGTCTTAAGTTGAGGACTACCTGTATTGTAGATGATAAGATTTGCAGGTCTCCCAGTTTCTAACCTCAGAACTGCGTCACCACGGCAACTTCGAGATCAGGAGAAAGGTGCAGCATTAAGATCCGGCTCTGTGACGCAGGTGGGAAGGACCCGCCTCGGCCGCGTCTAATGACAAGACAGAAGCGGGAGAGGCAACATTTCGGGGCGGAAGGCGAAGGCCAGGCGCCACCATGCGAAGCGGCCGGAGCGCCTCAAGGGCGTCCGTAGTAGCGGCGCCCTCTTCTGGGTCAGAGGACTCCGAGTGGGAGGAGGAGCGCGTGGCGCGGCTAAGGGAGCGGGCGTGGCGCGATGGCCCGCGGGGTCCCGGGTCCGGCGGGAAGGGTCGCAGCCGCCGCTCCCGGGAACAGCGCACCAATTGGCGCGTCCCGGCCGGCCACGAACGGAAGATCACCGCCAAGATTCGCGCTAGCTTAGCTAAACGTCGCCTCCAGCAGCGCCCGGGGAGAGGACCTAGATCTGCCCCGCTGCAACCCAGAAAGCGCGCTAAGGTGCGGGGCTTGGCCGGCTGATCAAATAAGCCTCGTCCCGCTCTCAGAGCCTTCCCCGATCTGGGAGTCTTTAAGAAGGGATAAACTACAATGCCTCCCCTCCCCAGGCTGCAAGGCTGATAGTCACGGGAATAAGGCTGCCCCCCCTCCCCTCCATACCTGCCCCCTTTGTATTCTTTGCGCTCCCCTCCCATTTCGAGGGCAATAGATTTGTAGAATCACTCAAGGCAAGAGCCTTATATTATCCCAGACAAATAGTTGTCAGGTCTATTTTTGTAAAACCTCCAGTGATGGAGCAATGATATCGGGACTGTATTTTTTAATAATAGATATGCTGCCCAAAGTCCTGTGATTCTCATCTTTCCCCAGTATTTCTGATCTCTCTCCCCAAAATATACTTTGAGTGCTTAGTTAAGCTTTCCCTTTCCTTTGAGTGACAATACATGCCACTTCAGTTTTAAAGGACTCGCAATGTAGAGCAG